ATTGTTTGAGATGTCGTATTCGACGTTCGTAATGGATGCTATAGCCTGTGACAGAAAATTGTCTATGCTGGTCCAGGTCTTCGCACAGCTCCGATATAACGGTACTCCCTGTATACGATATTTTGATGATTTTAGCTACATTATTCACCGTTTATTTCAAGTTTCGAATTTTAATATGGTAATGGCTTATGACAAACAATGCCTATGTAGGTCCACGTCGTATAGACCTTACATTAAGTATTTTTAAAATTTTAACAGAATTTTTTAAGGATTTTATTTTTTGAAAATTTTCAAATTTGTTCCAAATTGTGGAGGGTATTCAATGTTGGGCCCGGCCGAACTTACTGCTTTTTAACTTAGATGAAACATGAAAATGGAATACTTCGATCGACTATATCTGGGGTATCTCACGCACATTTTAAGATTTTCTACATCTTAAGATTTATATCATATTTATTTAGGTCCGATACGAAATGGACAATATTGGTCCATTCTTTCAAAATCCACTCCAAAATATTTTTAAATAATCGAACATTGGCTGAGGGTGGTATACGTCTGTCGGCAAAACCGACCGACACTTTTTTACGTGTTCCACCAATATTTTTCCCACATTTCTTCTTCTAATCCCAATTAAATTATCTTTTCCACATTCCCTAAAACTATTCCATATTGGTTTTCAGGTCTTTATTTTGTATTTAGATCAGTGTCCTTTTGATGTTCATAGTTTTGCCATGTGAAAATAAATTTCCCTTTGCATTGTTCATTCATTCGTTCAGCAGCAACAACAACATCAAATAACCCGAATAACAAATAAACATAAACTTTATCGAGTCAATGAAATAAAAATGGGATAATGGACAAAAACCAAAAGAATCAAATATATGACCACATAACCTGGCAAAAAGTGGATACGAGGGTGGTTAGTTCTATCGCTGGATAATAGGAGAATAAATTCTGGCGACTTATATAAAGGTTATTTTTTATGGATATAAAATCTTTGTTCAGAAATTCCTCTATGTTTAAAAGGTCGTCTATGTTTGAAAGACCTTTAGAAGAAAATTTCATGTGTGGTATACTTTCTTTATCAGAAGGCCTTAAGAAAATCTTCTTCTATCTTCTATGAAAGTCCTCAATATCTGTTTTAGACGACATTTCAATGACATTTCATGCAATGTTTTCTATCTTAAGAAAATAACCCTCTAAGAGGTCACACATGTATTTCGAATTTTACTATATTTTGAAGGCCTTACGAAGTTTTTTTTTAATGCCAACAAGAAATGTTTAAGATCGAATGTATTTAGAAGATATCAGAAGCTCTTCTATGTTAAGAATAATTTCAGGAGACTTTTAAAAAAGCGTTTAGAATATCCTCTTAAGGTTTTTTGCGTTTTAAATGTATAGAAGACCGTCTTTCATGTATAGAAGACATTTCGATGGTTTATATGTTTGAATGAATTTCAAAAGATCTTCTCTGTTAAGAATGCCTTAAAAGGGGGGTTTCGTACAGGGGCACTTAGAAAAAAGGCCGTTCCATTAACAAAAAATGTTTTGGGTCCTCTTTAGAAACTCTTTCATGATCAAGGTGTTCGAGGTAAATACGACCCCTTGAGGATCTTCTATATTTTTGAAGAATTTTATAAGGTCTTCATTGATAATAAGAAGAATAAAAGGCCTTGTAAAGGTCTTTGGCACATTGTAAATATATTTAAAGTAACCTCAGCTCAGAAGACCAAACTACCATTTCCACAAAGGAGAGTTTAAAAAAAGAAAATTTTTTTTTCAAAAATTGAAGTTATAATAAAGGAAGATATGAGTTTCGGATTTTCAAAAGTTTACAACGCAAATTAACCTAAATTGTGGTGGGAATTACCCTCCCTTTCCAATTTTTAATATATATACCTTCGAAGAGGAACATTTTGATTGTACTTATAAACTCCCCTTTAACTAGATAGTAGCAGAGCAAAATATGCTACAAATTTATTTGTCATGAAATTCGATGCTATGTCTCAGAATATATCTAAACTCCAAATCGTAGTCAAATGCGAGGAGATCACAATTATTAACAAGTTAAAAAGCAGTAAGTTCGACCGGGCCGAACATTTAATACCCTCCACCATTTGCAACGAATTTGGAATTTTTTAAAAAATAAAATCCTTAAAAAATTCTGTTAAAATTTTAAAAATACCGAATATAGCCATTATATTGGGGTCTATACGACGTGGACATACATAGGCATTGTTTGTCATAAGCCATTACCATATTCAAATACGTCAAAATACGTAATTTGAAAAAATTCCGATGAATAATGTCGCGAAAATCATCAAAATACCGAATATCGGGAGGTACCGTTATGTGGGGGCTATACGAAGACGTGGACCTGCATAGAAAATTTTCCGTCTTAGGGTGTAGTATCCATTTTGAACTTCAAATACCAAATTTGAAACAATTCCCGTGAATAATGCCGCTAAAATCATCAAAATACCGAATATAGGGACGTACCGTTATATGGGGGCTATATGAAAACGTGGACCTACATGGCCCATTTACGAACTTAACCTGCCTACTGGAATAATAAACAAGTGTGCAAAATTTTAGCCATCTATCTCAATTCATTCGAAAGATAGCGTGATTACAACAGACAGACAGACGGACAGACAGACAGACACACAGACAGACAGACGGACATGGCTAAATCGTCTTAGAATTTTACGCTGATCGAGAATATATATACTTTGTTGGGTCTGACATGAGTATTTCGAGGAGTTACAAACGGAATGACAAAATTAATATACCCTCCATAGTATGGTGGAGGGTATAAAAACAATTTCAGGGTTGCATTCATACTTTATATGATTTTATGCTAAATTTTCCTACAGAGCATAGTTTTAAAAGGATGACGTCAAGGACAGAATTATTCTTCATCCAATTTCATTAAAAGTCACCAAGGAAAATAAATCTCTATTTCCATATCAAGACAATCGTTGCATCAATGCTTTCAAAAAAGCGAACATATTTCCAAAATGTTTTAATCAATTTTTTGGCCTTGATTTAGCCCGGTCCGTTTGTCCATATTCACGCTAGAGTCAAAACGAATGGAGATACGAACCTAAAACTTTGCACAAATAAGCCTTTTGTCTTCAAGATGGGCTGTATCGGTCAACGATATCGTATAGCGCCCACATAACGATACCCAATATATTCGATATTTTGATGGATTCTAGACTCTTTTTTCAATGGAATTTTCAGAAAATCCACAAAAGGAGTTCCTTCTGAGTACTTCACCCCTGGAAGAGAATTGACTATATAGATCCACGATATCGTATAGCCCCATACAATCAGCAGCACTATTCGGTATTTTGATGATTTTAGCTAAATTTTTATACCGCAATTGTTTCAAATTTCAAGTATTTCAAGTATTTGGATCCATATCTTCATTTAGCCCACATATAACGGCAACGGAATTATTTCAAGCTGGATGAATTTGTCAAATTTTGTATTTAAAGTTCGAAATGGGTACTACGGTCTATGGTGACTTATAATGAAATTAGATGAAGAATATTTTTTGACTTTGGTGTTATCTTGCCAGAATGATGCTTTGTTGGAGTTTGTTGATTTAACTCGCAAAAAGTACGACTTTAACCCTAAAATGTATTTTTAATATTTATTAATTCCTGGCGTTTAGGTAAGATTTTGACATTTGGCCGCTTCTAGGACCTATGTAGAATATAATGACAAATAATCTTGTAGAATATTTTGTCTTGCCAGGATCCCTATTAATGGACTTTTAACCATATTTTTAAAAAAGGACCAAAAAGACCCCTTTGTTGACTCGCATTTTCGACCTAAATATTTTTCATGTTTTTGCACTTATACTTACTCGTATAATCTACGGATTCCAAGGTTTATTAATGTTAAGAAGGAGGAAACTAGTGGAATTATAAGGATACGAATTTTAGGACGAGAAGTTTCTGTATATAAAGAAATCTCGCATTTGTAGCCTAGGACTATATTTGTGGCACATACATATATTACAGTTCAATATCTAGTTCAGAAGTATTTTTCTCGCACTTTCCCATGTACCAATACTGTGCGTTGGAAAGTCCACTCGTTTTACTTTTTTCTACTCAAAATTATCAAAAATTATAAATTCAGTTGGCTTTAGCTGGCTTTTACGAAGAAGCCAGTCGAAACTTGTTCCATGTGTTCTCACCTTTAGTAAGTGGTATTCTTTAAATTTTGCACTTATCATGATTTATACCAAAATTAATACCGATTTTGGATCTGATTTTCTTAGATCTTCCTGATAGAGGATGTGAACTTTATTGACTCTAAGACTCCTACAAAGTATATAACACTTACAAAGCCGAGACACTGTCCAGATTCGGAATGCAGATTTCGAAAGGGTATTATACATTTCAAAACTCGGTATATGCATATAATCATTGGCTGAGGTTGCAAAGCTATCGGTAAGTCCGATAAATTACTTTTTACTTGTTATAATGTTTTCCCTACGTTTTCAAACCTCAATATATAAATAACGACCTTCCTCGCCACACAACATAATATGTATAACAATTGATGTCATAGCGCATGAAGAGAAAAGCAGGATAAGCAACAGTCTTTCATATGGAACATTTCTTAGTCCACACTTTGTGTGTGTGTTTTTGTTATTTTTTGTTCTCCTACTTCTTTTTCCTTATTTATAGTTTATTTTATTTCCTTTGCTTTATGCAAACGCATTTCCATTGGGAGCAACAAAAAAAATGTAGAATAGAATATAAAAGAAGCCTGACCGGAAACCATGTGGCAGGAGAAGGCACACAGGGCGTATTCCTATGGACTGTGCCCTGCCATTTCTTTGCTTTGCTTTGGTGGACATAAAACTCTTTGGGGAATACATCTACATCTTGTCTTCTTTGGCGGGGTACATTCCCGAGCTTGCACACTCAGTTACTTTCGTTTTAGTTGTTGCTGTTGTTGCTATTGTTGTATTTACTTACATTATCCGCTTCTAAACCACCGGGAATTTGTGTGCCATCCTTGGAACAGAAACAGTATGGCAGTTGACATTCGCTGGGATCGCATTTTTTTGCTTTATCAGCAGGTGCTTCGGTAATGGTTGATGGTGCTGCAATGAAAGGAGAGGGCAAAAAAAAAAAAAAAAAGAAGAATAAAAATAAATGCTTGTACGAAACATTAACCAATATGTACAGATGTAGTTGGCTATTGTATGAAGGAATGTGGGTACAGAGAATGAAAAACGAAAGATTTGGAACTGCTGCCGAGAGTCCGGTGGGAGATGAACTATGTGTATCTGTGTCCAAAAGTATTGAATTGAAACGGATATATATAAAAAAAGTTTGTTAAAGAAATTTACATGGATATACCGCAATGCTGTCAATTTTGGTAATAATTTAATAGAATAACAAGTAAAAAAGCCGGAATGAACTTTAAATACCCTCCACCATTTGGAAGGATCTTGAAAAATTTCAAAGGAATCCGTCGAAAAATGCCGTTTAAATTAAAACCGTTTTACGAAGAGGAGAAACTGCATATACAGTTTTGTTTTGTCATAGGCTGTAGTACCCATTAAGACCTTCAAATACAAAATTTAAAACAATTCTGGTAAATAACATCACTAAAATCATCAAAAAACCGAATTTTGGGAGGTATCATTATATGGTAGCTACACTAAGACGTGGACCTACATAAGTATTTTTTATACCCTCAGCCATATGGCTAGAGAGGGTATATATAATTTGATAAGGCCCAAAATCGTGCTTCATCGAAATAACGGTTTTAGACCCTAGGACTATTTGGACCAAATCCGTTTTAGGACATTTGGAGTGGATCTAGCGATGCCCGTCCGCCCGACTCTCTGTCTGGCTGGTGCGCACGATAACTCTCGAAGGATGTATCCGGTTTGGTCCGAACTTGGTACATCGCAATATTATTATCAAACTTAGATCTAGTTCGGAGATGGCCAATATCGGTCCACTCCTTGTGCTCCAACTTTACAATTCCTAATATTTGTTTCACTGCTAGGTTCGGTGCGAAAATGGACTATATCGGTTCACTCCATCAATTACCTCCCTCAAAAAGGGGTCAAAATTTTAAAAAATTATACCCTCAACTAAAGAGTGATTTGTTAAGAGCTTCATAACTTTTTAAAAAAAAAACGCATAAAATTTGCAAAATCTCATCGGTTCTTTATTTGAAACGTTAGATTGGTCCATGACATTTACTTTTTGAAGATAATTTCATTTAAATGTTGACCGCGGCTGCGTCTTAGGTGGTCCATTCGGAAAGTCCAGTTTTGGGCAACTTTTTCGAGCATTTCGGCCGGAATAGCCCGAATTTCTTCGGAAATGTTGTCTTCCAAAGCTGGAATAGTTGCTGGCTTATTTCTGTAGACTTTAGACTTGACGTAGCCCCACAAAAAATAGTCTAAAGGCGTCAAATCGCATGATCTTGGTGGCCAACTTACCGGTCCATTTCTTGAGATGAATTGTTCTCCGAAGTTTTCCCTCAAAATGGCCATAGAATCGCGAGCTGTGTGGCATGTAGCGCCATCTTGTTGAAACCACATGTCAACCAAGTTCTTTTCTTCCATTTTTGGCAACAAAAAGTTTGTTAGCATCGAACGATAGCGATCGCCATTCACCGTAACGTTGCGTCCAACAGCATCTTTGAAAAAATACAGTCCAATGATTCCACCAGCGTACAAACCACACCAAACAGTGCATTTTTCGGGATGCATGGGCAGTTTATGAACGGCTTCTGGTTGCTCTTCACTCCAAATGCGGCAATTTTGCTTATTTACGTAGCCATTCAACCAGAAATGAGCCTCATCGCTGAACAAAATTTGTTATTTAAAAAACGGATTTTCTGCCAACTTTTCTAGGGCCCATTCACTGAAAATTCGACGTTGTGGCAGATCGTTCGGCTTCAGTTCTTGCACGAGCTGTATTTTATACGGTTTTACACCAAGATCTTTGCGTAAAATCTTCCATGTGGTCGAATAACACAAACCCAATTGCTGCGAACGGCGACGAATCGACATTTCACGGTCTTCAGCAACACTCTCAGAAACAGACGCAATATTCTCTTCTTTACGCACTGTACGCATTCGTGTGGTTGGTTTAATGTCCAATAAAGTAAACTGAGTGCGAAACTTGGTCACAATCGTATTAATTGTTTGCTCACTTGGTCGATTATGTAGACCATAAATCGGACGTAAAGCGTGAAACACATTTCGAACCGAACACTGATTTTGGTAATAAAATTCAATGATTTGCAAGCGTTGCTCGTTAGCAAGTCTATTCATGATGAAATGTCAAAGCATACTGAGCATCTTTCTCTTTGACACCATGTCTGAAATCCCACGTGATCTGTCAAATACTAATGCATGAAAATCCTAACCTCAAAAAAATCACCCTTTATAAGGCTAGAGAAGGTATATATCATTTGGCAAGACCTAAAATCGTGCCTCATCGAAAATAACGGTTTAAGACCCTAGGTCTCTTTGGACCAAATTCATTTCAGGATATATGGATCCGATCTAGCGATGTCCGTCCTTCTGTTTGTCTGGCTAGCTGGTGCGAACGATAATCCCTCGAATGGAGTATCCGATTTGGTCCAAACATGGTACATCGTAGTATTATAATCAAATTTAGATCGAATTCGGATATGGGCAATATCGGTCCACTCCTTCTGGTACCTCAGTCATAAGAGGTCGAAATTTTCAAAAAAAAAAAAAAAAAAAAAAATTTTGCTGCACAGAAAGTGAAAGGATAATCGGATTTTGCTTTAACTTTGCAAATCCTGAAATTTGTCGTCATCGCTAGGTCAGGTGCGAAAATGGACAATATCGGCGCACTCCATCAAGTACTTCCCCCAAAAAGGTTCAAAATTTATAATAATTATAACTCCTATAAAATGTGATGTAAAGTCCGACTGTCTTCAAATTACACACATAAGAATATTTTTATTAGCCCAAGGTCTGTTTTGAAGATTAAATATATCGGTTCACTCCTTTTGGTACCTCCCCCACAAAGGAAGAACATTTTGAATGTCCATGAGTCTCTTGGAACACGAAATAAACATCCGATTTCATTCGGACTCGGCATATCTCAATATTTCTATCAACACAAGATCTGCTTTGAAGATGGTAGAAATCGAACCATTTCTTCTGGTACCTCCCCCACAAAGGGTCAAAATTTGGAATATCCATGAAACTAAAAAAACACAAAATTAACACCCGATTCCATTTAGACTCGGCATATCTCATTATTTCTATCAACACAAGATCTGTTATAAAGATGAAATATATCGGTCCACTCCTTCTGGTACCTCCCCCACAAAGGGTCAAAATTTCGAATATCCATGAAACTCAAAAAACACGAAATTAACACCCGATTCCATTTACACTTGGCATATCTCATTATTTCTATAAACACAAAATCTGCTGTGAATATGGTAGAAATCGAACCATTTCTGCTGGCACTTCCCCTACAAAGGGTCAAAATTTTGAATATCCGTGAAGCTCATAAAACGCGAAATTAACATCGGATTCCATTCAGACTTGATACATCTCAATATTTTCATCAACCCAATTTCTTTAATAAATATGGTGGAGATCGGACCACTCCTTCTGGTACCTTCACCACAAAAGGTCAATGTTTTAAATAACCAACACGGTCATAAAATCGGAAATAAGCATCCGGTTCCCTCAATATTTGACACATTCTATTATTTCCACTAACCCAATATCTATTGTGAATATGAGATATATAGGTCCACTCCTTCTGGTACCTCCCCCACAAAGGGTTAAAATTTTGAATACCCATGAAGATCATAAAACGCGAAATTAAGATCTGATTCCATTCAGACTTGGCACATTTTAACATTTTTATCAGGACAAGATCTGTTATAAGGATGGTAGAGATCGGGACATTCCTTCTGGTACCACCCTGACAGACGGTTAAAGTTTTGAATAACCTAAACGATCATAAAATCCCAAATAAGCATTCGGTTCTCTTCATATTTCATACAACCCATTATTTATACTAAGAGAAGATCTGTTGTAAAGATGGGATGAATCGGTCTACTCCTTCTGGTACCTCCCCCGCAAAGGGTCAAAATTATTGAATATTATAAAACTATTATAAAATCCGAAATTAGTATCCGATTCCCTTCATATTTCACACATCCTATCATAACAGAGGTCAAAATATTCTGAAATAATCGAACGTTCGCTGAGAATATATATCTGAATATTTTTAAAAACTATTTTAGCAATATTTTTAAGAACTCTAAAATTTTTTTTATACCCTACAACACCATGTGTTGGGGGTATTATAAGTTTGATTGGACCAAAAATTATGTAACACCTCGAAATATTGGTTTCCCACATAGGAAAGTATATATGGATCTTCCTATCTCGCCGAGCTGAGTCTATCTAGCTATGTATGTCCGTCCGTCCGTCTGTCCATGTTAATTTGTAATTAAGCTACAGGTCGCAATTATGGCCCGATCCTCACGAAATTGAAAATGGAGGTGGAGTTAGGGTCAAAATAGAACCCTATTGTTTTGGAGATGATTGCAAAATATTTAGGGGTTGAAATGGGGACCAAAAACAGACAATTTTCCTGATTTTGCAGTTGCTCTATAGGCCACAATTATGAACCAATCGACTCGGAAATTTACATGGAGTTAGAGTTTAGGACTGGGCAGAAGCCTACCAATTTTATGCATAATAATAGGAAAATTTCCACTAAACCGCAAATATTTTTAATCCCAGCCATATCACAAATACACTTAAAGATCACTTCTGACCATTAAAGTGATGCTGATTGCCTAGAAATCGGATATATAGCATAGATCTTATTTATTCTGCTTATAAGCCAAGAATCGCTGGGCCGATTTTCACAATTCCCATCAATTCGGAATGTTCTCTTGCCAGAAACATATAAAATCTAAGAAATTCGCCGAAAATATAGCAAGAAATAAGTTAATATCTTTTCTTCGATTTTTTTTAACTTTTGTCATAAATTTTATCGCATGCGATTTTTTCAATTTGACATACAATTTTGAATTGAAAATTTTCTAAATTTTTACACTCCGCTA